ATTTTATAATTTCAAGAACAAAATATTTATAACATTGAAAGTTATTTTTAAATAATTTGTGTGCTCTTCATGTCATGCCCAAAGCCCGCAAGCCCGATGGCGCAATGTACGCTGTAGATCCCACTGAGTGTAGCGTATTGTTTGGCTCAAATCATTGATAAAATCGACTAGTAGATGCTACACATGAACCCCGTGCTTATCTATTTAAACACAATTTTTAGTCTAGTCATCACTCGATGTGAGACTATATTTTTGGGGCATCACAATCACCCATTTGAGATCGCATAAGAACCAATTCATTTAACACATTTTATATGAAATTAAATTTACTTTTAATATCCCATACGAAATCAAAATCATATTATTATGATAGGTTACCGGACTAAAACTTGTTAGTGTGTAAATAGATAAGCATGAGGTTTAAGTGTAGCATCAACTAATTGATTTTAGTAGTTGGTTGAGCCAAATGACGCACTACACTCCGTTGGTCCTATAGCTTACATTGCGCTAACAGACTCGCAGGTCCGGGGCGTGACAAATGTTATCAGAGCAATTTGCCAGTCGGAAGTGTGCAGCTAAGTGCTATGCGGGACTAAATGTTATATCGCATGAGCGCGGTGGGAGCCATCTCTAGAGCCCGTAAGAGTTGTCTATAGAGTCCACGTTGCTTGATGGTGATACTGGGATGTGTCAATTGTCATGTCACGATAAGAACTTATCATATGTAAGGTGGGTGATTGTAATGCCCCCAAATATAGTCCTACATCAAGTGGTGACTAAAAATTGTGAATGTTTAAATAGATAAGCAAGGGGTTCAAGTGTAGCAATGACTAGTTGATTTTGACAGTGGTTGGAGCCACACAACACGCTACACTCAGTGGGTCCCACATTTACATTGCAGCAATGGGCTCACGGGCCCAGGGCGTGACACTTCAAACGTTTGAAAGTCTAAATATTAAATATTATTTTTATGCTAATAGTCACAGTAATGCAACAAATTTCCTTAGAGTCTTACATAGTTTTTTCAGGTTGCTAAATTTGCCGCTACCTCCAAAGAAGAATGGGAGGAACAATGCAAACTGTGGCCAACATCATATCATCCGCCGAACAAGTAAGCTTATTTTCTTTATACATCCTGTTAGTTTTTATTTCTATTACCTATTTCATTGTTTAATTGTAAATATGTGGAGCCTTGGATTTTAAAAAGCTTTTATTTCATTCCTAATAAAATTGGCGTTTAATTAAAAGCATCAAGCTATAAATTATTTCTGAACTTCACTTTGGAATCTGGACCTGTCTAAATCATATACAAACCTCATTACTTCACGATTGAGCTACATGAAGATTATATGCAATGAGATGAGTAAATTGCCATATTATTCTGTTTCTAGTTGCTTATTCAATTGTGTTGCATATTTCCTTTTTGTTTTATTCATATAATCAAATACAAATTTGTTCAATCACTGGAGCTTTAATATCATTGTAGAATAGGGAACACGGATATTTAATGGTATAAATCAAGGAATTGATTAATAATTTATGGGTGTAGAAGGAGCTAGGTTCTGCATTTTTGTATTCCTTGTGTTTAAATGTGTGTATCAAAATTTATACCTGAATTATAGATCTAATAAAAAACCCTCTAGCAAGAAGAAATTATATTAGGGTATAATTATGTTTCTCGCCTCTAGGTTTGATCCTGGAGATAAAAAAGGACTAAAAAAAGATGTAAAATAACTAAAAAATAAAATAAGAGGAGATGAATTTAGAAAATTTGCTAAATTCATAGGGCACTAAGTGTTTGTCATACGCCAACATGTAGTTTCTTAGCTAGAAGGGACTCTGATTTAAAATAATTCCTATAAACTCCAATCTCTGATAGGGGAATAATGGAAAATTTCTTTAGTTAACTGTAGTCTGGCAAAAGCAGTTTTAGGATGGGTTACATCATGGGATGTTCTCACTCGGGACATGCCATCATAAGTCATACTTTATCTTTTTTGTTTATACTTTAATGGGTTTTCAAACCCATATTATCTTCTTGTTCTGGCAACCGTAAAAATGTGATTTTAGTTATCACTTATTTTTAACAACTTGTGATGGGCTTTTGAATTTCATGATTGCAGCCCTGATGATATTGTTGGGTTTAGCGAAGAAGACTCAGAGATGACTTTCAACTTCATGAAGATTGCAATTAAATTAACAAAGTTCAGTTGTCCTGTTGGTAAGGTATCTTGACATGCTACATTTTACTTCTTCTGTAAATGGTTGATGATTTTAGCATTGATCACTTTAAGTTGCTTACATTTCAACTGACAACAGAAATTTGGATGTCACATCAATTTCTGGTTGGCATGCACTAACTAATCACAAATATTTCACTACATACTTTTCCTGTTTCTTTTTTTTTCCTTCAAAAGAATTGCTTGTTTAACATGCGCATTTATGTTAAAAATTTCTGATTGATTTTTTTCACTTTAGATTTTCTTTTAAAAGCGTAGTTTATGTTTGAGGTTTTTGCAGTTAGTCTTTTGATGCTTGTTAGTTTTGATATACTTATTATGAAATGTCATTTTAGGGTCTAGAAGTTCTTTCTGAATACAATCACTTTCTTTTGTAAACACTAAACAAGGCATAGGGACAATTATTTTCCTTTTCGTTTTTTTATTTTGTGACCTAACCTTAGAGATGAGTCACATACGTAGGCATTTCTGTGTGAGATTTTAGAAAAAGAGACAGAAGAGTAGGTGAATTTTTATCTACTACTCTGCTAGTTTTCTTAAAATGCTTATTTGTGAATCCTGCACCTTCACCGTTCTTTTTGGAGTGCTAAGGTCCATGCAGATGCTGGCATTTTAGTGAATTCCTTTCTTCAAGCTCTTCACCAATATTATGTTCCCTCATTACTTATTTCCTGTTGTGAGGTATTATCTTACCTCCATTTTTCTTTTTCTCTCTGTGACTATTGTCCGGCATTTCGCTTGACTTCATTAGCATAATTCTATATTACCTGTTATATAGTTTTTAACCTAAAGCGTAAGATGTTATCTTAAACCCAGCCTCTCGTCCAAGGAATAGATGCAGAAGATGCAATCCCAAGCACCGAACCTCTTACACTTGGTTCCTCATACTTTTTCTGCCATTTTGTCAAGTTCCTCTTGCAATTTTTACGTATCATCCTTTATATCTATATTTATTTTGCAATTCTATTGCTTATAGTTTTTGATGCTGCAGATAGTAAATGCAGCTGTCATTGTTGATCCTTTAAGTAGGGAGATCATCGCTACTGCCAGTGATGAAACATGTCAGAGGCCAAGTTCTATTTTCAGTGAACCATTGGCAACTCATAGCTCCCCTCAGTCCAATACAAATGGATCAATAGACTGCAATGGAGGTTCTGCACAAAAGCTATCACCTGATCAATACAGCCAATCTTATACTCAAGTTTCTTGTTTATACCCATGGGGATGGATGGCACACAGACCAGATAATGAGAACTCAACAAATTACGGTTGGCATCCTTTAAGACATGCTGCTTTAGTTGCTATTGAAAAGGCTGCTGCAAGGGATAGACATCGATTTCCAAGTTCAGCATCTTCAAAAGACGCATTTCTTGCAAATGACAGTTTGCAAGACCCTTCCGGTAGTTCTCCGGCAAAACGACAGAAGACCAACAATTTAGAAGTAAGTTCTCCAAAAATCTATACTAATAAAGAGAATACTCATGTCAAAACTTTTTATTTCCTTTTTTTCTCCCTTTCAACAATTTGATAACTTGCAATTATACTATTAATTATAATTAAACTTTAACTAAATATCCAAAACATCATATTAATTATGGACCCCCTCACTTTTCCACATATTTAGGCATTCACTAAAATATAATTAATATAAATACTTTATAATGATAAGAAAATATGTAAAATATATTATAATTTATATAAATAATTGTTAAATAATATATAATTAATATAAATACTTTGTATTTCCTTATTATTAAATAATATATTATTAAATAATATATTATTAAATTGTTAAATGCCTATTTATAAATTATGATAAAATACTATTATAAATTAAATAATAAACTATTAAACATTCTTAAAAAAGTATATTATTGAATAAATAATGCAGTAAATTTCTGTAAATATTTAATAGTAAAATAATATCATTCTTTTAATATTATAACCTAAATATGAATTACACTATTATTTAATACATTATAGTGAATAATAGTATTATAATTATACTAATATAAATATTAGAGATAAGAATATTATAATTATTCTATGTTATAGTTAAAAATTTTATAATTATATATTATAATATGAAATAATTATTTAATTTGTTATAAATATCTAATAAATTATGATTAAATTATAATAAGTATCTGAAATATAAAAGTTACTCATACAATTCTTTATACACGACTTTCTTTATTAATATAAGAATTTATATTAGTACAAAGTCACTTCATAACTTTGCACTCAAGGAAAAAGAATTAAAAAAAAGGTATGTCCACGTGCAAAGCACGTGCATTATACTAGTAATTATAAAATAACAGTCCAGAAGCAAGCACTCAGCTTCTTTTTCTGCAACATTTATATTGTTCCTGTCCGATGAAAACTGTAGTTGCTTTCGTAAGATATCATTTCTTGCAACCAGGAAAATTTTGACATTATCTATATTTTTTGTATTGTCCTAATATTATTGACACTATATTGTTGTATTCCAGTATGAAGATATCATAGTCCAAAGCGATCATGCTAATGGTGCGCCTTCAGAATCATTACGGCCTTATCTGTGCACCGGTTTTGATATGTACCTTGTATGGGAGCCGTGCGCTATGTAAGTTCCTATACTTAGCAAGTGGTATCAAATGCATTGAGAATTAGTCTAAAGGTTTTCAAAAATTTCAATTAATGTGAAAGATGCTTGTGAAACTTGTTCCAAAATCATTTCCCTTTGTTACCAACAGATTTAGCAAAAGTTTTACGGCTTGTAGTAACAAAAGACCACCTTGTTAAGTTGAATCATGATTAAACTAGAGAAGCAGTTACATTTATTCCCTCTTTTTTCCTCATTTTCCCTTATATTAATTAATTTGTCAAAGTTTCTACGGCGATATCGTACATCATTCAAAGAATAGATGGTATAATCTCCTAATTTATCTTCTGGTTGTAGGTGTGCAATGGGACTTGTTCATCAGAGGATAAGGCGAATTTTCTACGCATTCCCCAATCCAAACACTGGTGCCCTTGGTAGCGTCTATAGATTGCAAGGAGAAAAGAGTTTGAATCATCATTACTCTGTTTACAGGGTTTTGCTACCTGAGACAGTCCTTCATGAGGTAGAACACTAGGGTTCCAATAATCATAATTGACCGGGTTTATAATTCTGTTGAGTACTATTGGTTCTTTTGGTGTAAAATTGAAATTGAAAGTTATATTTTCTTTAGGATGGGTATTTAATAACCGTAAATTATAGCGGGTTCATTGACATTGTTTAACCTGAAATTTAATGTATTAGATATTGATCCAAATCCATTAAGAGGAGAAACAGGTAGCGTTTCTGTTATGAGTTGATGTACCTGTTGTAGCCTATGTAACTGTGGAATGAGATAGAACTAAGGTTGTATTCTCGTATTTATTTTCTTAAATGTGAAGAATTGAAGTGTGAAAATGCATTATTGTTAGCACCCTTCTTTGATATTTTATTGTTTTATCCCTCAAATAAATAGACTGCCAAGCGTCAAGCCACCACATGCACACTATCACAAACTAGATATCCCGTTCTACTGTCTCGCGGACAAACATTTGCTAATCCGTTGCATGAAGACCACCGCCGTCTACTTGCTGACAACAGTTTATTACGAGAAAAAAAATCTCCGCGAGACAGCAGACCGTTTATTACCAAACTCGCCGAGCAGGACAACGACTCAAAAGAAACGGAATCCTGAGCACGAAGCCGACGGCGACTATGGCGCTACTGTCTTCAGCCTCTCCCCCCATCATCACTCTCCGCTCGCGTTTTCATCTCAGAAACCCTAACCCTAATTCTCTCAATTCGAGGCTACATTCTTCAGCTCTCCAACGCCGAGCCCAGCGATTCCGGTTCCGATCCCAATTCGCTGGCGTCGCAGCTTCCAATATCTGCGAGCAAGAAACCCTAACCCTAGACAGGGGTTCTCTGATCGTGAAGGAGTACTTCACTGAGGCGGAGCTCTTGGCGGCAGTCCGCCTCAGGATCCGCACCTTCTATGAGTTCAATCAGGAAACTTTCAACGTCGAGGTAGTAGAGATTATTTTGCTAAATTTCCAATCTTTTTAAGAATTTATGGGTTATAGATCCTTGACGTTAATGGTATTTGTTCTTTGTTAAGTTCTGTTAGGATCATAGGAGGTTTCTGACGGAGCGGGAGTATGAGGCTTTGAAGGATCGTGTTTGTGGAATGAGAATAGGGTTCAAAAGGGTTACTTGCATCAATGCCACTTTGCCACTGTCGCCGGTATTGGTTTCTGCGAGTGATTTGTGTTCTTTATGCAAGGTAATTGTATATGTGATCGACGACAAGCCTGTCAATAGAAACTAGTATATGATATCAGTTTATAAATCTTTTGACAAAGGTTGACTTATTGAGACAATGCTAGCTTTGTGGTTGAACTTTATGTATTTGTCTTTGTATAATTTTACGCTTACAAGTGCTCAAACTTGGGGTATTCTCTATATAGGCCCTTTCTACTCCTTTGAGCATGATGCTTCCTTGTGTGTATACATTTGGTATTTTCTCATATTGCACCCTAATTATATCCTATTTTTTATTAGCCTCTACTTATTATTATTTTTAAATGACACCCCAACATCTTCATTTTTTTTCAAGATCGAATTCTTTTGTGTTTTGTTTTTTGTTTTTTTTTTGTTGGGGGGTGGGGGTCAGAAAAACGTATAATGGATTTGGGGTTTCAATTACAATTATGGGGTGTTATTTAAGACAATTTAATCAGTTTGGTGGTGTAAATCACAGTTATGAAGATTTGGCGACCTAATATAAAACCAGGTTATAATTGAGGCTCTAAGATTTGTAAAACCCATATATTTACAGTTCCCTTATCATTTTGTTACTATATAACCTGTCTTTGTTCTCAGTGTAAAGATGTTAGATAGTTTGTAGATAACTATTATGTTACGCAAGGGAAGTATAAAACATGTCTAGAAAAGATGTGTAGCTGAATTATGAATGCTGGCGGATAAGAGGAAGTATGACAAAAGATAGGATAAGAAATGGAACATTCATAATTAGAGATAGCTTCGGCTTAAGATAAAACACAAGAAAAGTCGTCAAATTGGAGTATGCTTTGTGTATCATGTTGTGTATTTTGTTTGCACATTCTATTTTATTGTGTATAGCTTAAGAGATGTTGATCCATGCCTCAATATTAAACTAATTAAGTTTAAAGCTACATATTATTACAAGTATCGATAAATTTAAAATACGTATGGATCTAACCAAGTAGAAATACTAAGTACATTTTTATGCAAAAGACAATTATATAACTAACACAAATCTGAATCCAATGACCTTTGGGCAATTAATCAAAATGACATGATTTTTCAACCATACTAGTCTTTTGACAACTTCCTAGTATCCAATTTATTGACCCTCCCATAAACAACAAAACAATCCAATATGACCAATAAATCATACTTTCATCATCTCATCATCATCTTGAAAATTGAGATCTCCATTTTCCTCATTACCTGCTCTCGTTTTCTTGATTGGTTCTCAATGTCATTCTTCTTTTTCATGCAACATATTTTTCATTTGCTGACATTGGTTGTGGTAAATCAGCTCACTCTCAACACGCTCCTTCTGACCACATTTTTTCTTTTTCTTTTTCTTCTTTTTTTTTCCTTTCCCTTTAAGAATACTGTTCAAGTTTTAACTTTAAGGTCTCCTACCAATAATTGGCTTAATAAACTTGTTACATTTTTTGTCATTGGCAAATACCAGTTACATGATCAGAATTTTCTACTTAAAGAGTTAATAGCTTCCTCCCTCCCTCTTAAGATGATACTGCTTGATCCTCCTCCAAGATCAATATTCTCTTTGATGTCTATCCAAGAGTTATATTCATTTGTTACCATGCACAGACATATATAGCTAGTTTGAACCGGGTTACTTCTAGCTTGGGGTTCAAATCTTCAAGTCATGCTTCAAATCTTAACTTCTACTGTGGAATATGGAACTTATATCTGGAAAGAATTGAGCCTGCACTTTGGCCATCTTGTAATATTAAATTGGTATCCCATTTGTTTGCGCATCTAAATTGTATTTTTGTTGTATCTGCAGTTCTCAGATGATGGAGAAAACCGAGTAGTAGTTGGGACTTTAGATCTTAACCAGTGCCTTAGTTTGACAGATGAACTGACGGGGAAAAAACCTCAGGTACTTTATTTATGTATCTATACTCTGCATTTTCACAAGGCAAAACTGAGGTTGGGAGCTAAGCATCAAATATAAGAGAGTTGATTTTTGGAACTTTTCAGATCCTAAGTGAAATTGTTAGTTTTTGGTTTTTCCCCAATGTTTATGTACATCCAGCAAAATTTTCCTATTATGGAAAGGATTCCTTTTTATTTCCCCGTATGACTTGCATTTCTGATGTTATCAGTCACAATCTGCATAGAGTGCTCTCTCCCACCTTCGGCATGCATTACTCTGTTAGACCCTAGAGGGGGGTGATTAGGGTCTTATGCTAATCTAATCCGATTAAATGCCAATTAAAATTAATTAATACGTTATCCTAGCAAGTATGAAATACAACAATATTTGTAAGCTAGGGTAAGCAATGTAAACAATAAGATATATCCTATATGATGTAATATATATGCAAGGATATATAAACTAACACAAGGGTAAACAATATGAACTAGATAGTGGATGATATAGATAATGAGTTAATGACAATGGCGATATAAGATATGAATATAAATATGAATGAACGCCAAAGCACACTCAAACAAGCAATATGATCACGGAGTTCGGACCTTCCGTCCTACGTCTCCGCTCCCCACTCACGGGGAGAAATCCACTAACACAATCCGGTTTGGAAGCCGGAACTTCTTCTACACACTCGGTTTTCTAGCTAACCGAAAACTCTACAACTCACACTCTTGCAATCACACTCTACACCCACTAAGTGTTGGACCTAGCCGTGTCTCCCTCAAGTGCTCGGTTACAGCCTCTCCCTATGCACGTCAACCGACGCCACTCCTCTTAGGACGATCCCCGACTCTCACCACACACTCCTCACTCGGTGTACAAGTGTATTACAAAGTGATTCTCACAATAAGCACAAATATAACAAATGATTGTTCTCAAAACAAGGTGAGAACTCAATTAAGCACAACTCTTAGTCACAAACCCACAACCCCAAATTATAACAATGTAAATACAATAAGCTCAAAAGGTTGTGTGTGAACAAAGAGATATAAATCAAAACTAAACTCAATGTAGTTCTAGCTAAATAACAATGATAATCAAATATATAAAATAGCTAGAAATAGAGTTTAGAAAACTTCTCAATATATCAAGAGTTGGAGGGAGAATAGTTGAATGCCCAAACACCAATAGATGATCTCCTCAAGCTCTTGTTGAATTGAATCACAAAACCAAAACACTCTAATGCTTAAAAGCTTCTTAAAACAAACTTAAACAAACACTAAACAAGTTTAAACCCTTGTTAAAATCTTTTAAACCATTCTCTTGTTATATAGGGAGATGTAAATGCAATGAGGTATTTATAACAACCCAAGACATCAGCCAAAACCCCAAGGAAATGACCAAAAACCCAAAAACAAACAAAACAGAAAACTAGCCGTTACTGTGCAACGGCTCTCTGATAAGTCGACTTAGAGTCGACTTATGACATATACAGTTTTTGGCAGATGCTGAAAATTATGCGTATCTGGATTTGTAAAATCAGTTAAAAATAGTAAATCAACTCTAAACATTATGAAATTTTGAGGGATGTTTCTAAACATGTAAATAAACATTTTACAAAAATAATTTCTGAAATATCACTTCTCATTTGTGAGAAATGAATATTTGAATACAGATATTTCAGATTCTAAAAACTGCTGAAACACCCGATTTTCTAAAATCAATTTGACACAGTAAATTAACTCCAAAAATTATAAAATTTTTAGGGAAGCTTCTAAACGTGTATATGAACATGTTAGAGAAGGAATTTCTCAAATATCACTTCCCATTTGAGAGAAATAATTTATTTTGTAAACTGGTCAAAAATACATAACTTTGAATTTGCAAGGCTTCACCGACATTCCGCCAACCTCCTTTGGATATGATCGTTGAAGCTCTATTCCATCCATCCTCCAACTACGTTGTTTGTCTATAATAAATAAGAAAACACAACCACTAGACAAACAACATTAATTATAAATTGTTTGTTAAACATCATCAAAACAAGAAGGCCAACAATCTCCCCCTTTTTGATGATGACAAACAATTTACGAAAAGAGATATATGCATGAAAGGAAATGAATTGTAATTCACATGCATATAAGCAAACAAGATAGATATACTCACAATATTTCTCCCCCTTTGACAACATCAAAAAGGGGACAAAACAATTAAGAGAGCGAAAGCTCCCCCTATCAATAAGCATAGGTGAGTATAAAAAGAGTATTTATAGGGATTGCTCCCCCTATCAAAAAACCATATAGAATATATGCAATGAAAGATCATGGCAAACATGTGAGCAATCATAAATGATATGCCAAAAATCACTCACATCCAAGAGATAATGAGAACACATAATGATATGTCATGACAAATAGGTGTCTCAAAATACAAGCCTAAAAACCATGTATAAAAAATAGATTTATGAAATCAAAAGAGAGAAAACATGAGAATCATGCAAAAAGAGTTTTCGAATGAAAACAAATCAACCAAATGAAATCATAAATCAACCATTTAAACCAAAAATGATGTCTGATCAACAAAAAAAATTCTTTTGTAAGACTTGATCAAACCACTCATAGAATACATTATAAAGCACGAATAGATGATCCATTAGCACAAACACATAAATATCATCATATAAGTGAAATATAATGAATTCAAAACAACAAATCAAAACAAAATCTTTAACAAAAGAATTTCAAGAGAGGCAAAAATATATCAAGCTCTTAAGCTTGTTCTAACCCATATAATCATTCTAGCATCCGGTAAACATGATTTATAAATGCAAACCTCTCATCAAAATCAAAACTAGGAATTATGAAAATAAAAGAATTTGACCAAAGAAAATTTGTTTTCATAAAAAGTTTCAAAGCATAATTTTCAAATAACCAAGAAAAAGGAAAAAATAAGAATACTAAAATTCTTGGTTTAAAATTTAAATTTATTTTGGTACCCAAAAACTCTTGGTACCAAAAGATTTAGGGACATGACCCCTATCATTAAAGCTCAAAGCTTTAGGGTTATGAACCCTCTTAGGCACATATGGTGTACTAACATGGTCAAAACAATATTCATTCAAATGATCCTTCCGATTGCAATTTGTGCAATGAAAGAGATCCATTTGTTTTTGTGGACCATTAGCTCGTGCACGGGAATCATTTGCAAATAAAGATTTTCTTTTAAATTTATTTTGCAAATGAGAACCATCATTAAACAAAGGTGGTCTTTTTGGAGCAAATTGCAAATTTGAAGCATTTTGCAAATCAAAACAAATTTAGCAAGATGTCCAACCCTACCACAAACATCACATTTAAAAACATGTGGTCTATTGGAAGCATTTGTCAAATGAGATTTTCTTTTCAAATCAAAGTAATATTTGGCCAAATGACCAAAACGACCACAATAATCACACTTGAACACACTAGCATGCTTATGATGAGCTTTGTGAGAATGAGCATGTGAATGTGTAAGTGTACAAGATGAAGAAGCTATATGAGATGCACAAGGAACATTAGAATTCTTATGTTTGTGTGCATCATAACAAAACTTAGCTAAATGACCTTGACGGCCGCAAATAGAACACTTATAAGTTTTGCTATACATGTGTGCATAATGAGTGGATGATTTTGATTTAGTCTTGGCACACATGTCCATAAGCCTCTTATGATTATTAATGCATATTTTCAAAGTTGAATCTAAAGATGAAATACTATTTTTCATAAGATTCAAATCTTCATTTTTAGGCACATATGCATTTTTAGAAGTAGAACATAAATAGTCATTTATAAATGAAGCAGTGTTATTTTTTATGTTCTCTACTTCTAACATGGCATCAATCTTAGCATGAGATAAGCTAGAAATGGATGATGATAATTTCTCATTTTCCAATTTTAACATATCATTACTTTCTTTAAGAGCAACATTTTCTTTGGAAATGATATCAAAATTGGAAGCTAGCTTCTCATGATCGGATTTTAAACTAACATGCTTGCTTTGTAAATCAATGCTTATGATGAACAATTGGTGCATGTGTGTGTACATGTGATGAAGAAGCTACATGAGATGCACAAGGAGCATTAGAATTCTTATGTTTGTGTGCATCATAACAAAACTTAGCTAAATGACCTTGACGGCCGCAAATAGAACACTTATAAGTTTTGCTATACATGTGTGCATAATGAGTGGATGATTTTGATTTAGTCTTAGCACACATGTCCATAAGCTTCTTATGGTTATTAATGCATATTTTCAAAGTTGAATCTAAAGATGAAATACTATTTTTCATAAGATTCACATCTTCATTTTTAGGCACATATGCATTTTTAGAAGTAGAACATAAATAGTTATTTATAAAAGAAGCTGTATTATTTTTTATGTTCTCTACTTCTAACATGGCATCAATCTTAGCATGAGATAAGCTAGAAATGGATGATGATAATTTCTCATTTTCAATTTTAACATATCATTACTTTCTTTAAGAGCAACATTTTCTTTGGAAATGATATCAAAATTGGAAGCTAGCTTCTCATGATCGGATATAAGTTCTACATGCTTGCTTTGTAAATTAATGAAATCATTTTGCAATTTGTTAAAGGCATGTAATAATTTTTCACTAGCACAAGCAAGTTCATCATTAGGTAAATCATTAATAGATTCGAACTCGCAAACCTCACTAGGGCTATCGCCTAGTGCACGTGTGCATGAAGCTCCATATGAACTTGAAGCGGGATCCTCCAAAGCTTGTCGGATCGCCTCCAAGTCTCCTTGATGCGCTTCTATGAATTTCCATAATGTATAAGCGCTATCAAAAGAATCAAGCTTGTTAGACATAAATGAATCAAATGCATTTAATAAAAATTCTAACATAAGCTTGTTCATAATAAACATCTTTTTATCATGTTTGCTCCACTTGGATTTCTCCAACGTGGGCACAATATAAGCACAATCAATGATTTCCCATAAATCGATATTTTTAGATTGAACAAATATTTTGAATCTAAAGCATCATTGAGCATAGGGGAAAACATTTAATCTAGGAGCAATATTGATGGCATAACCTAAACCATGCATATCCATAATATAAAAAGGCAAGCAAGATACAATTAAAGCTCAAAATTAGATTAGCACAAAAACTAACTTGGATCTTTAACTCAAGGCGATTAGACCTTAAATCAAAGAGCACCAAGCTCTGATACCAATTGTTAGACCCTAGAGGGGGGGTGATTAGGGTCTTATGCTAATCTAATCCGATTAAATGCCAATTAAAACTAATTAATAAGTTATCCTAGCAAGTATAAAATACAACAAGATACGTAAGCTAGGATAAGCAATATGAACAAATGAATATATCCTATCAATGAGATATTACAAATATATGAGCAAGGATATATGAACTAACACAAGGGTAAAATAAACAATCTACACAAGTGATAGGGTAATATGATGAGCAATACACAAAGGCGATATAAGATATGAAAACAAGAATAAGAACGCCAATGCAATCACAAACAAAACGATATGTTTACGAGGTTCGGTCCCCACGACCTACGTCCCCGCTCCTCACCTCGAGGAGATCTCCACTATCACAACCGGGTTTTCTACGTTCACCCGAACAACGTTTACACCTCACAATACAATCACTATGTAATCACACCTCACACACTAAGTGTTGGTCCTAGCCCGTGTCCTCCTTCTCAAGTGCTCGGTTACAACCTCTCCCTAGGCACGTCAACCGACGCCACTCCTCTTGGATTCGACCCCGTCTCTCACCACACACTTCTCTCGGTGTACAAGTGTATTACAAGTGAATCCTCACAATTAAGCACAATATAAATCAATTGATTGTTCTCTAAACAAGGTGAGAACTCAATTAAGCACAACTCTTAGTCACAAACCCACAACCCCAAATTATACTATGAATGTAAATACAATAAGCTCAAAAGGTTGTGTGTGAACAAAGAGATATAAATCAAAACTAAACTCAATGTAGTTCTAGCTAAATAACAATGATAATCAAATATATAAAATAGCTAGAAATAGAGTTTAGAAAACTTCTCAATATATCAAGAGTGGAGGGAGAAGAGTTGGATGCCCAAACACCAATAGATGATCTCCTCAAGCTCTTGTAGAATTGAATCACAAAACCGAAACACTCAAATGCTTAAAAGCTTCTTAAAACAAACTTAAACAAACACTAAACAAGTTTAAACCCTTACCGAAATACTCAAATGCTTAAAAGCTTCTTAAAACAAACTTAAACAAACACTAAACAAGTTTAAACCCTTGTTAAAATCTTTTAAACCATTCTCTTGTTAGTTGAAAGATGACAGGAATGGGGTATTTATACCCTCTAAAGATCTTAGCAAAAACCCCCAAAACAAATGACAAAACAGCCCCCAGAGAAACAGCTCAGAAATAGCCGTTAGTAGCCAACGGCTATATTGTCGGTCGACCGAAAATTCCGTCGGTCGACGAGCAGACACAAATCCGGTCGACCGGTGCGGTCGACCGATGGAGCTTTTCGGTTGACCGGACCGGTCGACCGACCAACTCTCTGGACCATGCTGACGAAAGAACAAACGAGCGGTCGACCGGTTCGGTCGACCGAATACTGATACTTCTGAAAACTGTTTATCTGATTTTAAAACACTGTTTAAAAATATCAAACAAATTCCAAAAAATATAAAAAACTTTGGGGAATGATTGTAGACATGATAATAAACATGCTACAGTGACTGGTTATCAGAAAAGACATCCCAAATGTAAAATATCATCATTTTGTAAGGAGGTCCAAAACACGAAAATATGAACATATGAATTTTGACATTTAGGCTAAACCATGTTTTGAAACTTTGCACAATGATTTTGTAGACTTAATAAAATATGTATATGATTGTTATTAAGTCCATAAACTCAGAAAACAATGTTTTCACAAATACAATAGAAAATGAAACCTATGAGTATGTATATGAAAATATATTTGTTTCATATCTATGTAGATAAACCAAATCACAATAATAAATATGAAACATGTAATTTCATATTTATAAACATGAAAACCAAAACTTGTGTTGTATATATATGTGATTACATATATATACAAGGAAACTAATAAAATGTGTGTGTATAGATAATTGAGCTTAGAGTACTTAACACACATAATATAAACCTATACTAGATTACCCAAGCCGATCTTGATCTTCAATAAGCTTGACTTGGTACACTTTGCGGATGAAGCTTGAACTTGGATCTTGAACTTTGAATAGCAAGACTTCACCGACATTCCGCCAACCTCCTTTGGATATGATCGTTGAAGCTCTATTCCATCAATCCTCCAACAACGTTGTTTGTCTACAATAAATAGATAACACAAGCACTAGACAAACAACATTAGTTGTAAATTGTTTGTTAAACATCATCAAAACAAGAAGGCCAACATACTCCACCTAGTTTAAACTATATGGCCTTGCATTTGATGTCCCTCGTGAGTCCTGAAGTTGGGAGATTTCTTTCTTCCATTCAATGCATGCATAGATTCATTACGTTTGTATTCTGCCAATCTGACATGTATTGATCATGATAAAACATCCACGTTGTTCGTACCCAATATCTTCTTTAGAAGCTAAGAGGAGGAAGATATATAGAACAGATCATGTTAATGAAATTGAAAAAACATAAGAAAAATGTACTTTGTTGAGGTGGAGATAGTGTCCCCATTCTCCTACTATTATGCTGAAACACATTCCGACTTCTTGGAGACTAGCCGAAGAAGAGAGGAGGAAAGAGATGGAACAAACCCTAAAAATGATTAGAGAGAATGAATGGTCAGATAAGATCTAAGGAGAAGAGGAAGGAAGGTATATAAGTTGGTATCGGCTCTGAGTGCTAGTGAATTTAGGCTATAGATTTGCATGTGTAGGCCTACCTCCATGGGTATAGTAGATGCATATGCATACGCTGCACATATTACCTTTTGTATATCAGTTTGGAAGAATCTTTCTTTGAGAATGTACTTTATTGTTTTTATCCTTGAGATCTGAGGGCACTTATCTTTGAGCTCTGAGAAAATTTCGTATTGGGCTTATATAGTCAGAGGAGTTGCAAAAGATGTTAAAATAATAAGGAAAGATGGAAGAAGACACAAGAAATGGCAAAGTTGAAAACTTCCTTTTTTGAATATTAGTCATTAAAGCTGTGGTTAAAGTTCAAATGATAAATTGTGAGATGCACACCTTCAGTGAAATGATTTGTGAAGCAAATTAGTTATGGTGGAAATGCGTATTTTTTAATGGAAATCGACGTTTATTCTCAGTTATACTTAATAGAATCATTTTTATTCTCATTAATTCTATGAGATGAGACAGAAGCCTGTGATACGTGATGGGGCTGATTTGCCCTGCATAGCCCTCATAATGATTTATGGCACCGTCTTAATCCTGGCAAAATTGATTTCTAGCAATACCATCTGTTTGACTAGTCTGTTTCTCTCTCACTGTCTATGTTCTTTTATCCATTTTGAATTCAATTTTCAAACATTTGCCAAATCATTCAACAGGATTGTTTATTCTCTCCTCTAGTATGTAGGAAAATCTATACTATATTGGTAATTGCGATCCTTAATAAGCTAATCTGCCTCTTAACCTTGCAATTTGTTAATTTACATTATAATCTTATATCTTCCTTGACTTAGCTATAGAATTCTATTTGAAGCTCAACACTACCAAATTGTTTGCCAGGGCACTGGACCAGACCTCAAGAGAGCATATCTAAGCAATGTATGTGTGGCCAAGGAGCTGCAGAGAAATGGGTTGGGTTATGCCCTAATTGCCAAATCTAAAGAAGTTGCTCGTGAATGGGGTGATGGTCTTTATCTCGCTTGGCCAACAATTTTCGCTTTTATATGCTTATTCTGTTGACGATCATAAGCAAGTCAGAAACTACAAATTTAGTCAACTTTTTGGCCTAACTAGACCTTAAAAGTCAACAGCCAATATAATAGCATTAGCTGCTTTAGAATTCTAGAAACTTAGGCCAGATTGAAATCCTTGTGCAGTATGCATGCTTTAAAAGCTAAAGCAATGGTGAATCACCCAACCCTTAGGTAAAGAAGATAACTCCAAGATTATAAAATTGTTGATATTTTTCCTCATAAATAAAAGCTGGATTTTGTATGGAATATGTAAAAGAAAGTCTAATGATCGAAATACTTAGAAGGGAAATTAATGCACTTCTATATGACACACATTTGTTGCATATGCACGGATAACTAAAGGACGCAACAAAAAAAATTGTAATTTGTAAATAAATGTGTCAAACTTATGATAACAAAAATGTTTATGATGTAAACAACCTACTCCCACAAGTAGCTGGGAACAATGTGAGATGGTGCTGCGATAAATTGTTATCATACTAAGATAAAAGGTTCACAGATGGTCATGCTTATAGATCTAATGGTGGTAGAAGAGTGAGGAGGAGAAAGGAGCTGCTAGAAACCATTTAATTGGTAAATCAGCTTCATTGACACTTCGAATACTGATAAATAAATAAACAAATAAAACTCTGAATCCTCTGAAATATGCAGTCATAAATTGCAGAGTCTGTTTCTACAATGACCTGTTACTTTTATGTAGGCTAGCTCATGACCAAGATGCCTAGTTTTGGTGCCCATTAAGGAAATTTTTAATGTACTGAGATCTATGCCTGATAGCTATGAAGTCAGAACAGTCTTGGAAATTTTTTCCATAAAGTTTCTTCAATGACATAAGAGAAGTTAATATTTCTCTTTATTCTCTACTTGATTTTTCCATGCGAGAAACGAAAAAGAAAAAAAGGCTTAGAACTCTTAATGGCTTGCCGCGAAATAAGAGGCTAGGAATCATTTCTTCTGGTTACTATTTGGTAGTTTTGATTATCATGGATCTCACATATTTTGCAAACCCTTCTGAACTTTGCAACATACTTATAATTTTTTTCTTACGCAATCAGTGAGAACTTTATGAAACTTCATACTCATCAGCTGCCTTTTACCATGTTCTTTACTATAATGTTGAACTTTGGAAGTGTGGAGAAAACTTTTCCCTAATTATACCAGCAATTATGGACCAAGCGGAGTTGTTTCAAGCAAATCTAAGTAAAGGCTCAGTTTTGTTCTTAGTTCAAGCATAGTACACCCTTGACTCAAGCAAAAAAAAAAAAAACACACACACATTTTGTCCTTAAAATTATGCTTGCGACATGAAATGAGGATAAGTAAGGAGAGGGTAACAGAGTGGGGTTGTTGCAATTCATGATGGTGTGTTGTTGGAGTGAATATAGAAGGCATCTTATTTGAGTTAAAGATATGTAGAGGGTGTGATGGGATTATCAGTTTTGCATGTGCAATTATTGGTGAATAAATTTCGAGGAAACCAAAATTTTAGTGATATAGCTTGGCTATTCTGTAGTCTTTCGGGACAATCTGGAGGCACATACACCAAAACTGATCTCAAGTTAGCAGTATGGCAATTCTGATCCTGGATCATATCACAAGCAGGAAGACCTTAGTTAGATTGAATCAATTTGTTAATACAGCTTTAATTTTTTTTTCTCAGTTGAGGAACTTTCAAGTATAGAGAGAGTTTCTTTGTAAGCCTCGTTGTTGAGAAGGCTATTGCTCTCAATAATGGGATATTTCTTCATATGTAGATTCTGAGCCCCTAATCAAAGAGTTTATGAGGCCAATGAGCTGTTTTAAAAATAATGTGACTGGAAAATTAGCCATTTTATATATGTTCTCAATGACCAATAACCATGTTCTTCAATCTGGTTTATTATGGCCAAAATATTTTTACAGATTTTTCTTGTTAATTGCATGTTGCACTATAATCTCTCATTGTTTCTCATGTTTGTTTTTTATTTTAAAAGTCAAATGTTCACTTAACATGGTCTTTTTTCAGGAATAACTGATCTTTATGTTCATGTTGCTGTGGATAACGACGCTGCTCAAAAGTTATATGAAAAGAGCGGATTTGTTTATGAGAATGAGGAGCCTGCTTGGCAAGCAAGATTTCTAAGTCGACCCAGACGATATCTTCTTTGGACACATCTTAAACAAACCAACTTGTAAGGTAAACTTATTTTGTATGGAGCATTTGGCTTTCAGTCCTCAATGTAGATAAGCTTTTTTCAAATGTCACATTTTCATGATAGGTGCGACGCACAGTTTCATTTATATATCATTGTTTATAATATTTATTGCCGTTTTTTCTTCAACTCTTGTATGATTAAATGCTTTCAATATATTAAGTCATGATTAACATATGGGTGGATTATGTGACATTATAAGGTAAATATTGCTAAGAAGTTCTTGTCTTGTACATTATTGTGGTTGCATATTTCATTTTTCTATTTTTGTGAAGGATATCTATGCAAGAGTGTCTTTTAACTTGGGAATATTAATATCTACCACGTCTGATATTTCTTTGAGGTTTGAAGGTAGTAGCCTCATGTTTGCTATATCCTGTTCTTTAGTGGTTTTAACTTTGAAATGTTGATATCTACCTGGTCTGAAATTGCTTCTTGGTTTGAAGGTAGCCTCGTGTTTTGATATATCCCATTCTTTAGTGGTTTTAACTTTGGAATATTAATGTCTGCCGATATCTCGTTCTTTGGAATTCTGACTGTTCAGTTGCATCCTGATTTTATGCCTGACCATTGTATTCTGTTTTTTGAAAATTTCATGTCGCATCTTTGCCTGTATTCGTCCTGACTAGAATTTAGTAACTTCATAGATAATCTAGACCCTAGTTCGGTAGATTTATTATCAACACTTATTCAACGACTAAGTCGGTCTTTTTCAGTGAGTTGAGCCTTGAGACGTTTTCATTGATGACTTGATCTCCTAAAGATGAATTAAGCCATCAAGGATACTAATTGTGATTTACATATGTAACATAAGAAGATTTCAATCATCAGAGAAAGATGCCTCCTGTCTGTAAGGATTACAAAGAGTTGAATCTAGAGTTGTCCCTTGGTGAGATGACCTCCTCCTATTTACAAGAGTTAAATCTTCAGTGTTTTTAATGATGCATGCATTATTTGCGCAGAAGATTCAATGGTTCGAGTGAGCCTCCTGGGCCTAGGATGAGAAGAGTTGAATCCAGCACAGTGACACTATACTAACTGTGAGACATTACTTTGATTGGGAAGTGACTGATTTGACTGATGATTAAGATTGAGGTTACAGTTACAGGGAATTTGACACCGTTATGTTTGATAGCTCACATCATATGTCCATGTTATTAGTCATTACCCTTCTTGCTCGTTGCTATCACTGAGAATTCTCAGGGTAATTATTTCACGGCGAACTAGCACTTAAATACATTATATATTTCACTCACTTTGCACTTTAGAGTCTATCTTGGAAACCATTTTTTAGTAGTGTCGAGCGGGCCAAAAAAAAAAGAAAAATCAAGACATCACACATGGAGCCCAGTTTTTCATCATTTTCCAGCTCATTTCCTCTCAAAAAACTCGAAATAGGTTTTCAGTTTTTGTGGGACCCATTGCATTAGCATCTCTGAGCGTACGTCTCGTATACACTCTTCCCCTTTTTCTTTGTTCCAACCAACCAAATGAAGAAAAAGGTGTCACGGACCTTGTTTCTTAAGCTAACTGCGAACTAAACAGCCCCTTATATATCCCAACTTATCTTTTTAGCATTTATGTATCCTAATTTGTTTATATTTGGCATGTTAGTATCTTTTATGGGTAAATATCAGAAAACCCCCCTTAACATTGGATAATTATGGCAAAACCCCTGTTAACTTTCAAAATATCTAAAATCCCTATTTAAGTATAGGGATTATCACAAAACTACCCTATAACTTTTAGATTTTATCAAAAAAAAACCCTTTTTAGCTTTCAGATTGTATTAGAAAACCCCCCTAAATCTCAAAGTTAAAGGGGATTTTCTGATAACCCTTAAACTTAAGGGGCTTTTTTTATATTTTGAAAGTTAATGGGGTTTTTGTTATAATCATCCAAAGTTAATGGGGTTTTTGTTATAATCATCCAAAGTTAAGGGGGGTTTTATGATATTTAACCTATCTTTTATTATGCACACGTGAAACTTTTTCACCTTCGAGTTCTTTTATAATATTCACATGTAAATTTTATAGTTTTCTAACTGTTAATATTTGTTGAATTTATTTTTAGACCTATACAAAATAGAATTGGGTATATTTAGGTTAGAATTTGGGAAGGATTAACAATGAACTTATTAATTATTAATGATTAAAGAGCTCTAAAAGTAATATGTGAATGCTTCATGGGAACGTTTTGGTGAGGTTTATCACATTTTCATAATAGAGGATATTAACGTATTAATTTTAATCCACTTAGAATATATAAACGCTATGAAAAATGATTGAAAGTATAAGTGCAAAGTGGCTGAATTATAAGGTATTTGAGTGCTACAAGGTGGCATGGAACTTTTGCACTGTAGAAATAAGGGAATATTGCCTGATGGCGGAGGGATACCTTGTAGTTCTAATTGGGTAGGTAGACACCTTGCTATTTGGAAAACGCTTTTTGGCTCGCGCTTTAACGCGCGAGCCAACTTGCGCAGAGACAAAGGGGTGGGACCCACTATGGCAGTGGGGTCCATCCCCTGTTTCTGTGCAAGTTGACTCGTGCGTTGAAGCACGAGCCAAATAGCAGTGGCGTTGCTATTTTGCCCAAGTGCATATAGACCTTCTCAGTGAACTTCTTTTTGACTCTATTGAGAGTAAAAATATTTAACAATTGAGACTCTTATCAGCACCGATAGAATTATAAGGAGTCTCTCTGTCTCTATATAACTCTTTTTTAACTTCTTTTAAGAGTTACAAAAATGGACTCAATGGGTCTATCTTCACAGTTAGAGCTACAGGGGCCATCGCAATTAGATGATACTACATTGGCTCTATCCGCACTTAACCTCTTTTCTTATCCCCACTTCTAATTAGGAGTGCATACAGTCCGAGTACGGCTCGGATATGATGCTTAACATATCTGTATTTGTTAACCAATTACGGATACAGAAATGTATATGGATATGCCTCGTGGAGGAAAATTCATATCCATATCCACTAAAATCGGATATGGATATGAATATTCACGCGGATACACATGCGGATACAAAACAAATTAATATGAAAAAACTGGGTAATATTGAAAAAATATATTTAGTTCATATTATACAAGAGAGTTCATTGATATGTTCATTATATCTAAGAAGTTAAGATTAGATATCTTGATCATCGAAATTAACATGGGATCCATTAATATAAGGAATAAAATTGTTGCAACCATACGACTAATATATATTTGGATATTTAGATACGGATTCAAATATTTCAGCACTTAACCATATTTGTAATCATGTTCTATCGATTATAGATTTTAGTAACCCTCACTTAACCATATTTGTAATCATGTTCTATCGATTATAGATTTTAGTAACCCTATCGTTTACGCAGCCCTGTTTCTAATAGATATCAGAATTTTTATACTATGGTTGTTTTTATTTCTTGTTTTTTGCTTTTTGTCGTTGTTGTTGACTTTTTTTTTTTGTTGCTAATAGTGTCTAGTGTCATGAAGTTTTTCATTCACATGATTTTCCTTGGGCGGCGGAAGCACACGTCCACGTGCATGAGAGACTTTTCCATTAATGCAGCCCACGGGTGACGCTAACCCCTCCTCTCTCACACTTGCATCACCCCAAAAGTTTATAAGCACACGCCTCTTTAAAGACAAAGCAATGCCCTCTGTCCTTTTGTCCTCAAGTCAAGGTCACCTCAAATCCTCATATATCAATGAAAACTGATAACTCTACCGACAATAGAAACTGAAGCGCACTTTAATGGCTTTTCATGCTTGGTGAACTGATTCCCACATTTCAGTTTAATCTTGCATTCGATAAATTTGAGTAGGTTATAATAGGTGTTTGCTCATCAATAATAGGCTAATAATGTTGGGTTTTGTATGGTCATGTCAAGCCTCTCATGTATAATGTGGCTGTATTTGGTCATGACAAGTCTTTCATGGCTGATACTTCCATGGTTGTGCTAATATGTGAATTCCCTTCACCGAGTTTCCTGTTGCAAATATGGTGTAGTCATCAAATCGAAGTGACTGTGTTTGCACACCAAGAGGGCTTGATTGCAGCACCTACTACTATCACATCCTGTCCATGTGGTGTAGGGGCTTGGGCCTTTTTTTGCCTAGCTAGTACGTGGATCTTATTCGGATGACCATCTCTTGGATTTTTGTCTTTATTCTACAAGCCATTAGAATCATAATTTGGGCATTTCTAAGGTAAATTTAACATTCAAAATTTCACAAAAGCCCCCTTAATTTATGTCAGAGAACCCCTCAAACTAAAGGTATCACTACTTACTTCCATCCTAACTTATGGGGGCTTTTGAGAAGCCCCCTTTAAGTGTGGTCGTTCCTGAGATAACCCCCTTAACTTTCTAAATGACACAAGGTTTTGTTAGAAAACCCCAAAATTAACTCCATTAGGGGGTTTTCTAAAAAAAGTTCAAAGTTGATGAGGGTTTCCTTAGAACCCAAAACATAAGGGAGGGTTTTCTGAGATTTTGAAAATTAAGTGGATTATCAGAGAAACGCTCAAACTGAAAGGGGTTTTGCGAAATTTACCCAAAAAATAAGAAAAATGAAATTAGAGTGTTTTTAGCGTGCGAAGTTCCTTTCATCTCAAAGTTTATGAACCTTTGAATTTGGTTCAGAAAAGGTTAGTTCTGCCGACTTCAGAGAAGAAGAAGATCGAAACATATTTAAATTACTAGTGCATCAAATCCATTTGATTGAGGCTTTACTGAAAGAAACATTTATTTAAAGCAAACAAACTTTGCATCAACTAATTATTCTTCCTTAAGCATTAAAGAATAGTTGATATGACCTTTGATAAGATAGGGTGATAGAGGAGTGCAAATTTGAGAAAGAATGCAACAATTATTTTCAAGGGTGACCATCGCTCACATCAAACACTGCTCGTTTACTCTAGACAGGTACACATGCAAAAGACTCCCAAACTGTAGCTTTCTTCTGTTTGCCTTCGGGGTTGTCTGAAGTAAGGATCACCCTAGTTTGCCAAAATTTCTCTTGCTGATGTCCACCACAAAGATGAAAGTATCAATTTGCCACGCTGCCCACATTCCAAACCACTAGAAAAGAGAAGAAATACCACCTTCTTTTTTTCAGTTTCC